AGGGTGAATTGGGAGTTAAAAGGTTTTAAGGAGAAACAATATTAATTTTTGCGAGTGAAGCCGCGGGGAAAGGCTAGTAAATAATAAAGTAATGCATACGTATAATAAGTTCAATAAATACAATTTGAATCCTTTGAGGAGTAACGAGTGTTACTTTGTTCAGAATATTTCGAGAGTTGGGTAGTTTGGGAAAATTTCCAAAGGAGCAGATAATATTCTTAAATAGAAGTGATCTAAAGCCCATAATTATATTAATTAATAAAAAACGCCTAGAAAGAAATGTGAGATTTCTATGTTTGGTGAACATTGTTCCTTGCCTGTATATGATACCTATTTTTCTAAGGTAGGTAGATATTCTCGATCTCTGCTCCTAATCAATGTTCAAAAAAGGTTCATCGGGAAATTTCTGGACTCCCAGTTTTCCCTTGACGGAAAAAAAAATTTAAAAAACATTTTCTTCTCTGGAGCTTTATTTTGAAACTTCATGAATTTCCCAGGAAAATCGTATGCGAGCAGGAGATCGGTATGAAAAACTGCCACAGCTTGCAAAAACACGCAACCACAATAAAAATTTGGTTTGCTCCACAGGTTGTTTCCGAGCAACTCCATGGAAATTTTTTTTTATTTTTCCTCCAAGAATTTAGTCAGTCAGTTGTAGTAAACAAGTGCCTATGCGCTCGCGCAACGATTGGTTATATACAAGTAGGAGGATTGAATACAAGCCGCGCCCTCCAGAGACTTCAGTTATGGATTAGTGGAGGGGGGTCGATAGCCTGTAAAAAATGCCAGGACGATATTTTTCAGCGGTTCAAGTACCTTTCCTCCTTGGCTTTGAGGATCTTTACTTGACGACTTTCCAACCAACGAATGTGGGAGATGAGAGTCTGTGAAGAGTTTAAACCGACCCAAAAGCTACATTGCTTCCTTTTTTTCAAAGCTTTAAAATTCAGTGGTCGGAACAAATACCCCCTTTATTCATTTCATTTCGTTCAAAGTACACAGGATAATAATGGTAAACATCGTAAAAACCGCAATTCTGGAAAACTGAACACTGAATTTTTCCGACTGTTCCTGGGGATAAAATTTAATAAACGGACGAAGATGTTCCTGTTTTATCATTTTCTACACTTTTTAATTTCCAAAGATCCATTAATAAATAATAAAATAACTTCGAATATAATCTGAATCATGCAAAGTGTCGGCTGTGATAATAAAAGAATAAAACTTTCAAGATACTTATTAGCCTATTTTGTCGGACTATTTCGACATCTGTACTAATAAAGAGGTCCGAACTTTTAGTTAATGAGGATATGAAAGGACTATAAATAATCCTTATTGGGCCTATCTTTGCAGCTGAGATTCGACAAGTGTTATAGATGCATACATAATACTGATGTTTTGCTCAGGTACCTGATTATTATTTTAGGATATTTGTAGGCACTATGTGGTCAATAGTTTGAACCCTGGCAATATTATGATTCCGCTTTTGCGAAAGCAAGGGTTCTCATTTATCGGCATTAGTTTTATTACCTTAACCTCTGCTTTTCAACTTTACATTACTCAGACTATATGTATAAGGATATAAAATCGATGCTTTTTATTCAATACAGTATAAAACTAGGAAATTTGAACATTTGGTCATATTTATTAACACCTAATAAGTGTTTTCATGTTTCCCTTTTTACAAAATAAGGATAATGACCAGAAAACATTAAAAACAAAAGATTGATACAGATCAAATAATAAAAAAAAGTATAGCGAGAAGAATAAGAATAGACTTTAAAATAATGCGACAAATATTGTAAAAAGTAAATTGTTTTCTTAATTTTTGACAATAATAAATTAACCTACTTAGTTTCCTTTTTTTTTGTGTCACATCATTTTTGATCACCTACTGTTGTAGAGTTAAAGTTCTAAACTTATTAGTTGAATATGGGTCAATTACCTACTGGCAAAATAGCCAATAGTAATTTATGTAAATATTTCCTCAGTATTGAATTTTACTGAACTGATATTAGTTATCGACAGCTTTCCTTTTACGTATAATAGTTATTACTCCTATACTACTTAATATACTTATATTTAGATCTGAAAAGTCCAGACCGAGTCGTATGCTAAAGCTAAATCGCTGTAATCGTCTGTCGGATCCTCCAAAGGAATATTTAATTAATCGAAACAAAAAACACGTCTCTGTTTAGTGTCGGTGAAGTGTGGAGACCGACATTGTTCCATAGGAAACCAGTCTGTGGCGGCCATGGAACGCCATATGACTTGCAACTTGTATTAAATACAAAACAATCTTCTGATATATTCGGTTAATGCCGCGAAGAAACATTGCTTTCATGTTGATAAGATGTCTCGTAGCTACGTTCTCTTGCTTATTCTCTAGTTATAATATAATCTACTCGGTAAAGTTCTAATTAAGTTACTACCTTATAATATTGTCTGTTATCTATTCCAACTATCAATCTGGAAATAATTACGTGTAGGTATAAAGCAAGAAGCAAAGTCACTAGTAATACAATTGTAAAATGCTATCATTAGGTTCTGCTTTAGGCATCTAATTTAAGATAACATATAGGTATAGCAACCAAGTCAATAAAGTGTAAAAAAGAATAAATTTCTTAAGCATTTTTTGTATTAGAAGATCACTTCCACGATTATGACTTGTAGCTAAAGAAAGTTAGAAGTCGCTAAACAGTCTTTGCACAGAATTCATCTCGTAATAAGCCAATAAGTACCTCTTTGGGTCTAAAGCCAAAATGAAATTATCCTTAACAAATAGTCCTTTCGTCCATATTTCCATATATATACTGCCTACCAATTGTTGCGTTGCACCTATTTATTATTATAATAAACGATGTAAAGTCGACTCATCACGTGGACCCCTCAGAATTTCGTGGATCATAAGTTATGAAACCCTGATCTAGGTGCATGGGTACGTAACTGCCCTAAATGGGACATATTTCAGTTAATACGTACTGTTACAAATATGTGCCCAGATCATTATTTCATAACATGTGCTCCATAAACCCCTGAGGGATCTACGTATGCAATTAATGCCGAATGTGTAAGGCCAGTTTGTGTTAGCATCATTGTTACGACGATAAATACACTTAATATGCAATTATTTGTAGTCAGTAATACTACAATTTTATCAAAAAGGGATGCCAAAACCAAAATAACTCGCCAGTGATATCGGACGCCCAGTAATCACTTTTTGTACCTATTTCGATAAGTTTTTCGTAATAGAGCTTACAAATAATTACATATATTTATTGTCGTAATCATTAGCATATAAGAACAAATAAGAACGGATAAGTTCTAGGTCAGTAATTTATCGATACTACCAGACGTGGATTTTTATTTTATTTGGTCCCATCAGCACACCATAAACAGTACTGACAGATCATCGACCGAAGTGGGATGATTTACGTATACACCTAAGCACGTTTATATAATATAGAGTTACAGCTGTAAATCGCCATCTACTGATATTTGCTCCTAACTGAAGTATGTATTTCAAATGTTAGATAAAAGGGCTAATTACTAAAAAGCAAATTCCTACGCAATACTTAAACGATCTCTTAGAAAAGAAAGGAAAATCATAATGGAAATGTCTGAGAGTACTAACCTTCTCCTGCTGCATCTGCTGCTTCATAAGTATGGTCTTTTTTTTGTCTTTGCATCTCTTGTTCTGAAACCAGACTCGTATAACGCGGGGTGAGAGTCCCGTCATTTCGACGAGCTGCTCCTTCATGAGAGCGTCGGGACGTGGATTCGCCGCGTAGCAGGTGCGCAGCGTATGCAGTTGCTTTTCATTCAGCACAGTCCGCACCCTCGTTGGTTTACCGTCGCTACCCGCACCACCCCCCGACGCCGTTTTTCGACCTGTACCGCTGCCGCCCCCGCCACTCTTATGCGAACCGCTTTCCGAACCCGAATCTGTAAAAAGGAAGAAAGGAAAATTATTTATACTGAAAAGCTGGTCCTGGAAAAGCTGCTCCACGTACTGAACTTATACAAATTACTAGAAAGTAGAAACTAAAATCTGGCGAGAGTTTTCCGGGTTCATGAGCCGTGATCTAATAGGATTTTCAAATCTTCCAGACGTTTCAACCGAATCTGGAACGTTGAAGACTGCATTGGAGTGTTCAGTTCCGTGCAGACGCTACCCCAATCACTATAGATTACATACTTTCTACCATTTTATTAATATTTTACTCAAAACGTACCCTTACAACAAACCCTGTCATTTGATATGTCACACGATATAGTTTGAAAAACTTCTTTTTTAATTTCCTATTTGCCGCCCAAAAATTACCCCCATTTTCAAAATTAATTTATTCACGTTATACGTGCGTGTTTGGGTCACAGAAATTCATATGTAGATTCGGAGCAAATTGACTATAACAGACGGACAGACAGACACACGAGTGATTCTATAAGGGATCCGTTTTTCATTCGAACGTACGGAACCCTAAAAATTGAGAATAGAATCATATCATTCGAAAGGTACTAATCCATACATGTACAAAAAAGAAGCATTTAATTTGTGACTGCATGGTATCTTTTGAATACATTTAATTAGCACTTTGAACATTAAACAGCATGTATATGACTGGAACAGTGGGAATCCTTTTTTAAACCTTCGCCCAGCCCCCTTGTTTCTAAACATATTGCTTAAGTCAGAATGTCTTATTTACTGGAAAAATAATAAGGGCATTTAATTCGCAACTAATCTGTTTACAAAGCATATAATGAGCATTTAATTATATTGTGTATAGAAAACTGTATTTCTTATTTATTTATTTGATAATAAACGAGTAGAACTCCTATTACATAATGTAGTTAATGTGTGGGTGCAAAACGAGTCACAGATCATGAATAAACAGTAATAAATGAGTGAGAATATTTTTATTATTATTTATGTAATGGTAGTTGTTCCCGTTTGTTATCAAACAAATAGATATTTCTTAAATAAAATTTTTGCACATACATGAGATCAGTAATATTTGAAAAAATTCCCGGAACATTTAGTTTCTCTTTAGTGCACTTAATTAGCACTTAATGAGTATTTTAATTTTTACATCATTTTCAATTTAATATTTTATGATGTTGCACCAGCACAGTAATTTTTGAAAAATTTCTGGAGCATTTAATTTTTCGTTGCTGCACTTAATTAACACTTAATTAGTATTTCAATTTTTACATCATTTTAAATTTAATGTTTCATAATATGCTTCAATAAAGCAGTAATTTTTGAAAAAATGCCCGGAGCACTTAAATAGCACGTAAGTATTTCGATTTTTTTTCAATTTAATATTTTATAATGCTTCACCAACGCAGCAATTTTTTAAACATTTCCAGAATATTTAATTTCTCGTTGGTGTACTTAATTGATTAATTAAAACTTAATGAGTATTTCATCATTTACATTTACATCAATATTTTGCAAAATGTTTCACCAAAAAGTGCTCTGCGAAAAATCCCTTTAATCAATTACTATAGTATTATATTTTATTTCCAGAATGCATAGGCATTTCAAAACAATTATTCTCAAATATTACAACCAGCAACCATAACTGCCTGTTGTCATTTTCCCTTCTCTATTTATGTATAAACGTTGCGTAACTGTTCACATTCTTTCTACTTCTTGTTGGTTCGTGTCGGTGCATGGTCGTGTAATAAATCAGACGGAAATGTGCGAATTTTACCGGTGATTAACATTTAATTATTAATAAACAATATACTGTAGTGTTAATAACTCTTTGACTTGTTTATATTATCGAAACGTAGCTTCTTGTGCAAATGTAGATTACTTTGTTTTAAAGTTATTAACGAAAATCGAGTTTCGAAAATACGAACTGTTGTGGAATCAGTTGCCGGCATGGTGAAAAGGTAAGTGTGTTTTTAAGCAACTTTTATTACATATTTCATTAAAATTGAAGTTATGTTAATACATAACTTATTAAATTGAAGTCTCTTTTCTGAGATATATGATTTTCCTGTGTGTTACTTAAATAATATGTTTTCATCATGACAATAGCTGTAGCAAGTGGTATGTGGTAGAGGGGATACTACTGCAATCTTCTAGAACAGTGTTTCCCAAACTTTTCTTCCTCGCGAACCAAAAGAAAGGTCCGAAAAAATTTGACGAACCCCCTCTGTAGTCGTTAATGACAGGTAAAAAAAGGCAATAAAATTTGATAGAATATATATTGAAGAATAATTGATTATATTAATCGTGAAACATTTAAATATAACATTAATAAGACTAAAATGATGGCTATAAACTGTGAAAACAAGATAAATTTAGCAAACTGGTTCTTATGTTTTACATTTGGAAAAACACTTAATGGGATATTTGTGGCTGTTTGATAGAACAAAGCAATTCAAAGTTAGGCTCAATATCTGACAATTTCAGTCTTAGATCAGGTTCTGCATTTAACGTTTCAGTACTATCATCTCGATTATCATGTCTCGTTTCTAAACGGCTCGTTATTAACCATCGATCCATAATAAAAATATGCTATAATAATAATTAAATTAATAATCATTAAATCATTTACACGAGAACTTGACAGTCACAGTATCACTATCACTCAAGCTTTAAAAGTGCTAAGCCTATGTATTGACGAAAATATTGAAATTTATTATCTATAGATTTCTTAACAAACAGGCAGCGAACAATCTGTTTTACAGTGGGCGTGTTCTTTAATTTTTGTGTTTTTGTTTTGCTTTTGATTTTAATGGCGTTTTAAAAAATCCGCCATTACAATATTATTTTCGCGAACCCCTTCTGCAAACACTGCAAACCCCCAGGAGTTCGCGAACCACCGGTTGGGAATCACTGTTCTAGAATACCGAATGATAAAAAGTATAGCGTTTGTTTCGAGCTTTCGAGGTGTCACTCACGTGTTTTTTAACACAATTTGAACTAGCTTTAAACCCTATTAAACATATTTACGTATATTTATGTACGCCTATTATTTGTAGGTAATACATCAGTTAATACTTTTAGTTACAATATACATTTAAACTCGTTGTGGTAAAAATATCGTAAATATTTTTTTCTTGAGAAAAGCTTCATTTTATAAGGAGAAACTTCCAAACTAATAATAGTACCTACAAAGTAATTTGATAAAGCCGTAAGGCTTTCCAGTCTTTCAAAGTTTGCAGAGAGGAAAGTTTCTAAAGTTAGAAAATCTTTGCCATTTATAATCTTCCTTGAAAGCAAGTACCTAATACGTAGGATGAAATCAAAATTTTAAGATGTAATTCTACCTTGTTTATGAACTTTCCTACAGCAAATAGCATGTACCCATCTATCATAAATTGTACGTATGCAGGTACCTACTTTATAACTACTTGTCTACCACTCATTTGTTTAAACAATTTTGACATATTCTGTTTTAATATCAATTTCTTGTAGTTGTTAGACTAATGTAAACGATTTGTTGAAGGCAAATTATAAAAACGTAACCAAAACAAAAATTGAGCTGTCTGATAAAAAAATAATTTGACATTATGAGTTAACATTATTTTTGACCAATATAGTTTTTTATTCTAAGGCAGTTCTTTACTTCAAATTTTTAAAAGACAAAAAAGATCATCTTTCGTTATAATTCGTCAATGCAATAATGCGCTACCCGTAATTGATCTATATAAATTAATTTTATTGTAGATATTTGTCGATTATTTTTGAAAAGTATTTGCTAAAGTTAATGCAGAAAAGTTTGGGTTAACAATTAGCATTATGTTGATTAGATACTTATTAGATATGCTTTGTACAGTTCTTAAATTATTAGGCATTACCCATACTATGGAATCCAAAATTACGTAGCGTCAAATTTCAATCTGAAGCTTGAAATCCGACTTCGTTTTAACATCTATTCAAATGACTCCACTAAATTAGTGGCACTATAAATGAAGCAAAGGTTGTCTGCTGAATGTGATTTATCCTTTTTATATCAATTCAAATGACTTTACGTGGTCTATTACTTCGAGTAGGTATACGTATCGTTTTATGTATTCGTGGTAATCTTAACTACAATACGAGGCAGTTTTGTTGTGTTCAACAGTTTATGGGCTACATGTTGTCTGAATGTGTGGTAAAATAATGGATGATAAAGGTACCTTTGATTGCAATTAGGTATCTTAGCCCGTTTATTTTCTAACCATTATGGAATCAGTTTTATGGAGAAACATATTGGGAAAGGCGATAATATTCTAGAAAAACACAGAAGTACACAAACTAAAAAATACATACATATATACGATGTGCCCCTTCCAATGTCTTAGATGCGCGCTGGCAAAATCGTACGTAGGGAGAAAAAAGCTCATTATACTCTCGACTCTTGTTCATTAAACATACTTTTTCATACAGTACCTGCCAAAAGTTTTGTTCAATCATGAATAGTAGTGCGAGTCGAAAACAAGCGTTAAAGCCTTTAATATGTCTTCAAATATAAATAAGCATCTCGTTGATATTTTCAGTAGTTAATGGTACCAATAACAGCACATTTGAGCAATGCAATTGTAGTGGATAAAATGGTCAATTTTTCCGTGCAGTACTGTACGGATTATACGCTCCCCACCGGTTTGGGCGAGAATTGTCTCCTTTCTTTTCTGGCCTAGTGCTGTTCTTTTCTACTTTGCGCCGGTCAAACTGAAGGTCACATCGCTACAGAAAGTAAACGAAGTATACTTATATGTTTATACACTAGTGGCACTTTATAAACTAAACAAAGGGATATTCTATTACTCAAATTAGGCACAATCAGCAAAGGGTGACATAATATTTTACAACATACGACGTGGTATAGAGGGAAATTCATAGATACTAATATTTTCAGCTGTCTTTTTATATAAATAAATGCAATTAAATGCCAACAGAACAAAAGCTGACCAAGAAATGTGTAACTATTATATTCGAATGACAT